TTAATTTTATATTACATTTAGAATAATAAAATATCTATGAAATTTTATTATTAGTTGAACTATATAATTAATTTTGACATGATATATTCATATATCAATCAGTAAATTTTGGATCGATCAATTGCTTTTTTTGTACGAGCAATCGTCGAAGTTTGGATTGAGTGAATTCCTATCACCTGATACTAATCCGTATAAAGTGATTTATATCCGATTTGAATGATTTTAATCCTTTTTGATACCGTATTTTCGATGCAGAAATCCCGATCGATTCGGATAACTTTTTTTATAATCGGTTTTAATCGAACATTTCGGCAGGGATATTCATTGGATCAATATATATACATTTTAATTAGTATAACATAAAAACGCAGAATTTCGGCATGCTTCGCAAATTTATTAAAGTGATACATATTTACGATAATTTTTCGATATCTGTCTTGTATCACAGTGGAAGTTCCTTGAAGGAATTTAACGGGATTAATTATGCGCTTAATAACATCTCAGACATGTCATCGTTGTCCAAATTACAGTCATGTAGATGAGAGCGAGAATCTGTACTGTCATTGTGACCCGAAGGCCTGTATACGTCAATATCTGTTCGACTGGATAGTCAAAGACATAATGACAAAATTTTTAAATCTTTCAGCAAAATCATTCTTTTCATACAGCTATTTCTCAATATAATTAGCTAAATATTTTCTATTTTATTCTAGCAGCAAATATTTTTTGCTGTAGCTATAAATTTTAACAACTAATAAATTGACAGTAACGATGTTAGCTGTCTCTATTTTAAAAATACATTTTAGCTGTTACAGCTATATTTTAGCTACGTTGACTAATTCTTTCTCTGTGTACTTTAGATTTCTTTGTCACAATATAATTTTCTTGTTTTTTTCAGTTTTCTTTTATTACTGAGAGAGGCTTACCGCAACGACGCTCCAGTCAGGTCCGAAATGAAAGCTATACTTGCAGTAAGCGTTATTAACATCATAGAACTCTGCATGCTCGATGGATCCGGTAACGGAGATGAAAAATTGTCCTTCCACTGACATATTTATTGATAAAAAAAAGAGCTTTGTTTCCTATTTTGAGCCTTTGACTAATAACCTTTTACGGAACAACTGAGGCAATTCTTACCTTCTGTTTACAGCAAGCTGTTACCATGGAAATGATGTGTATTATGGCAACGCATCGTTACGTGCAATGTGGTGTGCGTTGCGTAAACGTGCCGTAACTGCTCATCATAGAATTTTTAGATTACTAATATTTTTGAAACTTTTTCGAGATAATTCTTTTACAAATAATGACTTATAGCAATGCACTTTTATGCTTTTGATTATTTGTATCTAAAATTGGATACAACTCGTTAACTTTAACCGTATTTGTATAAATAAAAGAAAATTATTATGATTTTAAAACTAGTTGTTTTTATTTGTATTTAATAATTTTTAATATTTTAATGTATAATGATAATAATATTTATTATTTTAATATATGTATATTAAAAGCGGAAAAAAAGAATAGAAATAATATTTAATATAAACAAATAAATTTTTTTATTTTGGTTAATTGATTTTCAATTCCTTTCATACTTGGAGCAGTATTGACGAAATATATAGCCAAAACAATAAATTATTTTCAGAAAATTTTCGCGATCCTCAATAAACTTTACGAGAGCCCTTAAATTAAAGGTGCAGTCTATCTTTGCGTACAAAAATCTTATAATATCATTTCTTAATACATATACATAATATAATATTGGATTTCTAATAAAAGTATTGCGCTATATCCACGTTGCGATCTTAAAAATAGAAAGCAATTTATCTTAAGTTTTTTTTAAAAATCGAGCAAATTACACAACCCTTTTAATCTTGGTTTACAAATAAAAATCTTGGTTTACTTTATAAATGTATTTGTACCCGTTACTGCGGTAATTTTAGTGTGCTGTTAGACTCTTGCCCAGCAAGAATTAACTTAATTCAATTAATTTCGAATCGACATCAATTTAACGTCTAATTAATGGTAATTATTTAATTCTCATTGGATCGGAACGGATCGACATTATCCGGCAAGAATTTCACACGAAACAAAACTTCTATTAGACGTATTTACTTATTCACTAACACATTAGTTGGTCCAGACATGGCGGTTCACACCAAGAAAAGTTGGCTTCCGTAAGGGTACGTTCAAAGCATTTTACCGAAGACTGTTTCGATAAAAGTTCTCTCAGTGTGACCCGCTCAAACCACATGCGATCCCAAGTATTCGCGTAAAACGGTTGAAATATGTGAGTTAATAGAATGAAATGTTGTGACTATCCTCGCGGTTCCGAAAGCTGAAAAATATGTAACTCAGTTTCAGACTAATTAAATTTTCATAGTAATAAATCCACTCGAATTTACCGCTCTACTTCAATATCCGGATGCGGCCATATTAGTCAATCGTCGATGAAACCCCCACTACCGATATGTTCTCTCGGCTCTCCACAGTCCACTCTCCAGTTCTCCATGGAATCAATGATACAAGCTTTAGAACAGGCAATAATTGTAAAAATTCGCATAAATGGGCGACTCTCTGCGACGAGAGGTTAATTATTGTAAATATATATTTAATATTACACAGATAATAGTAATCGTGCGTAAAGCTATTTATTACCAATATTTTTAGCTTATTCGCTGGTTCTTTTTATAGGTTATTTTTAGGTTATCTAATGTTTATGATAAATATTGAAATAGCGATATCGTATTTGCTTTAATATTTAAAAACTTGTTTAATAAATTTAGATATAATAATAAATATATTATAGATATAAACTGTGGGAATGTTTTTGATATAAACTGTGAGTCGTTTTTGTAAATAAATAATTCTTTGGCTACGTTCGGTTTGGCGCTTACAGCGCTTATGAACATCATTTATCCTTCTTTAACATTTGATAAACAACAAGAATGAACTGAGAGTATCAAAACGAACGCAGCATTCACGCATATATACATATTGATGTATGCATAATGTGTTCAGATATTTTTAAATCTAAAAACGAGAGTTTTAAGTGGCGAGGGAGAGAGAGAAAGGAGGATTTCGCTTGTAGATAAACACTTTCTTTTCAGTATTTTAGAATTATTCTCTGGTAAAACTAACTCTGGAAAATAACATGCATAAGCATGATTGAACTAACTAATTGGTGCAAGCTAGACTATACTGTGTTAATAAACAAAACAATATCGTATTTTTATTTCTTTGATACACTGAAAAGCAAAGTCGATACGAAACCATAGTAGTCGTTATTTAAATGTATCACGGAAAGAATTACTTTGCTAAAATATCTACAAATTTAGCTAGACATAAATTTGAATTTAATTCTGTTGGATCATCAAATTAAATATAATAGCAAAAACTTATGCATGATGAGCAATGTATATTGCAATCAATTTTGATGTCTAGCAACCAGTTTGAGCGTTCTATTAAGTTCAACAAAATTATTTTTACAGATTTATATTTATTTAGCTAAAATTTTAGATCAGTAAAACTGTTTTGCTGTATGGGTTTAATCTACATCATCATAATTTGACAAAATTTATAAAGTGTTTTTCAACGGGACTTTTTTGCTAAAATCAAAACATTTGACAATGTTTTATTTGATGGGACAATCACTCGAAGCAGATTTATCTTGCTAAGACCGAAAAACGAGATATCTGATTACATTATATATGCACACATATGTAAATTTTATTTCCCTAAAATAGCCACAAATATCATTCTAAATGCAATAAATATAATTTATATTGTTTAATTAAAGTTTGAAGCGTTACATAATTATGTGAAATGCATAAAAGTAACAGAAATTTTAACCTTTAATGATATTTTTTAATAGGTAGCACTTATAGCTTTAGTTTAAGACTACTGTGCTTTATTTCTTTATCCATTTGTTTACTTTCACGATTTCAATTCTTCAGGTTTTGCAAGTCTTCAAGAAACTGCATAGAACAAGATTAAAGACATTTGAAGGTGATGAATATGCATTGCAAGGTTATATATTTTGAATTTTGTTAATATAATTTACACTTTGGTGTAATGAATTTTCGATAAGTAATGTTTTACTGTATTGTTTTTTAGTTGTGAGGGATAAAATAAATAAGGAATACAGAAAATACAAAAATGTCACAAATCAGGCGGCAATTGAGGAGGTATATCCTTTTGTTCCAAATGCACAATGCGTAATGGAAATGTTATAGACATATCTTAAATTTTATATTTAAGGCTATCATCCTAAAACATTGCTTTCAAGGAAAATTTTACTTAAAAGTTATATAGTTTACGTTATGCTATAGCTCTTTAGTAAAATTTTTTTTGAAAGCATTAACGTTTTGGAATGTAGCCTAAGTCTATAAATAAAATTTGTATAGAAGCCTTGCGTTATGATTGTTTCAGTTAAATAAATTCGCACAGGAAGTCGAACATGAGGTACGAACAACTGTCATACAGGCAATCGAAACAGCACCTGGGAGAGTAGGTAATGATCATGATTTTCAAATAATAAATAAAGCATCAGTCGTAAAAATCGTAAAATGATCTAATTTATCTTATCTAATTAATAAGCAAATTTAAATTTAATTTCAGCACTGCGACTTACTCCAGATGTCTTGGTAGATAATGTGCCATATAAGGATCAGAAAGATAATAAGAAAGATAATAAATCAGGCCAAGAAAGCAAAAACTAAAATTAAGCTGCTGACAATCTATGATATTGAAGAATATTAAACTCGAATAAAATTTAAAGTTAAAAATGATTATTATAATCAGATCGTAAAGAGACATTTAAAATTAAAATTGTAAATAAACAATGTATTATATAGGATGTTATAGCAGATATATAGTTATAGCAGACAGTATTATAAGTGTACAGACAAAAAATATATACATTATGTAACCTGATGGAAAAACGCTACTTAATTTCATAATTGAAGTAATCTTTATTTACAGCAATAAGATTACATTAGGGACGTTCAAAGTATGTACAAGCCTTTACTAGCTAAATCGTTTACTTCTCGATATCACAGGCTGTTTCTGCACCTCGTATTGAATTCATATTTTCTTGAATGCATGAACTATGCACTTCCCTCTTCCAATCTCATTCTGAAACGTACAGAAATCGCTTTACATATTTATTTCATTATCACAGTGTGTTCCTTACCTTTCTCAAATATCTTTTATAATTATTCATGTACAGGAAATAAGGACTGTGTAGAAGGAGGTTGCACTTCTATTCAAGAATTTAGCGAGGAAAAGGACTCAGTACATGAACAAAGTTTTTGGAGCGAACCTGAAGGAACAAATTCAGCGAAAGTAGTAATCTTTTCATTAATTGATTGCAATATAATATTGAATTTTTTAATCTTTTTGACATTTTTTAATTTTATATTCCGGAATTTGTTTTATTTTAATCAAAGTTAGAGAGATTTGTGGCGTATTGGAAAAGCTAGATCTCTAAGCTATATCATTAATAATGAAATTCGTTAAGATATTGTAATAAACGGTAATGGAATCTAATATCCCTGAATCCTATATGGAGGTCTTACACATGCTCAGGATGACTGCGAATCTGGTCAATGAGATCCGCCGGTCGCAGTTGATCGGTGCAGATGCGATGCACCGCGGTAAACAGTGGAAATTTGTCCATCAAGTTGCGTGCCTTCAACATATCATGAACTTCATCTGCCGTTGCCGGTCCTTGCAGCTTCTGTCCAGACAGCAGTTCATCCTCCAATACTTTGATAGTCTGTATGATATATTACACATTACTTGACATACGGATTGTTCTACCATTACCATAGCAACACGAATTTTTTTAGGTAAATTTGAATACTTTTAGTAGAAATTTCGTATAATTTTTCAGAACTTTTGTATAAATTTTATAACTTTAAAAAAAATGTTTTTTAAATAAATGGGAATATTTTTCAGAAATGTTGGGAAAATTTATCTTTTTTAGAATTGTTTATATAAGGTAATAATTATTAACACATTCGCAATTAGAATGGACTAAATTGAATAGAAAAGTAAGTTTTTCATTCAATTTAGTCTACTTTAATTTTCGATTTTCATAATAATTAATGAAGTAATTAATAAAGATTGATTAATAAAGATGTGTTTTACGAACGACTATGACTACTGGCAAGGAGCAATACGTAATTATAAGTAATTATAATTATGCTGTTTTATGTGAAATATATCTTTATAGACATCTTGTCACGCAATCGTAAACGCGTGTAAAATTGGATTATCTCTTCACGTATATGCTTATTTGCGAATCTCTATTAATTATTTTATTAATTATCGCAAAAATGCAAAATGGTACGTAATTTTCTACTCATTGTCAGTTTAGTTTCGTTTAACTGCACACGAGCGTTGTGTCAATAATTACCAAACATCCTAGCTATAGAAAGAATTTTTAAGATGTATAGATTTTCTAAAAATTTCTATTAAAAAGTAACTGTTCTAATTGTTTGTGAAAGTTTGTTTGAGAAATTTTTTTATAAAATTATAAAGTTTATATAGAAATTCTGAAAAATTATATAAAGAATATAATTCGTATATAGAAAAAAATTTCCATTATGGGTATCCAAATTTATCGATCTAAAATGTAAATTCTGAAATATTCTAAGATTTCTTATTCTACAATTTTTGAAAACTTATGAAATTCAAAGAAGTTTAAAATTTTTTTTTTTTTAAGTTTAAGAAATCTTTATAAATTTAAAATATATAAAATTCTTAAAAGTATAATGGGATATTATAAAAAATTTTTTTATTGGGCATCAATTGAAATTTTTAATTATAAAGCGAATTTATAAGAGTGAAAATTGCTAAAATCAATCATGCAAATCAATAGAAATCCATAAAATCTTGTTAGAATCTCTCACCTTGCCAGTCTTAACAAATTGCTCGCAGACTCTGCGATTCCTTCCGCCGTAACAAGTGGTAATCAAATCCGCAATGCCACAGCTCTCAAAAAATGTAGAGAGCTTAGAACCGCTATAGAAAGTGTCGACAAACTTGATCATCTCCATCAGCCCTAATCGGATCACCGCGGCTTTTGTGTTGTCGCCCAATCCGAGGCCGTCCACAAAACCAGCTGCACATGCCACAATGTTCTGTGACCGAAACATATTCGATTGATAAACTAATGAGCAAAGTGGAATAAGAAGTACCGGAAATGTCAATTATCGAGACCATGAATACGAAATTGCAATAAGATAATTCATAACACAAAACTTTCTTTGAAGTTAAGTGAGCTACTTACTTTCAAAGCTCCGCACACTTCTACAGTCTCGCAATCTTCCACGACAACCACTCGGAAGTTAGAAGTCTGAATGAGATCTCTCAGTACTGGCGCCAATCGTTTGTCCTTACAGCCTAATATAATTTCATATTGCTGAAAATCTTTTGTAATCTTTAAATATAGCTTTAATGAACTAATCTTTAGAGAAAAAAATTCTCTTATATTCTTATAATATCTCCTATATAATATCTTCTTGAGAATTTTTTTATACTTTTATACTTTTCTGTAAAGATTAAAAAAATATCTTAATTTTTCAAATTTTGTAAGTTTTTTTTAAATTATAGAATAAGAAATCTTAGAATATTTTAGAATTCACATATACATATAAAAAATTCTAAAAAATGTAGGCTTTCTCAGCTTTCCTAAAAAATGTGCTAATTTATACTTTTAAAAAAATCTGACATTTTCTAAAAAGTTATAAAATTTATATAAAAATTCTGAAAAATTATATTCAAAATTCAATTTTTTTTTATAATATGACTAAAATAAAATGTTTTTAACTAATTTACATATAGTAAATACACGAATAAAATAATATAAAATTTTTAATTCGTCACATTTTTGTATTAATGCCAAAGCAAAAAACAAAAAGTTGATTTTGACATCAAAATAGTGTTAAAATAGCTCTAAAATGATTATTAAAAGTCACTTTTCTATCAGCCATTTTATTCATTTTAATTTTATTCATTTTAATAGCATCTGACTTATCATAATTCGTTGCTCTGCTTGGATGACATATATGTCATTTCAAAGTTTCAAATTATTTACGTATTGTATATAGCATATTAATTTCATTTTCTACATTTAAATTCCTAAAAACAATTATGAGATAAAAGAAACAATAAAATCTCATAACAAAAAATGTATTAAATACAAGCAAATGAATTTATTGATAGAAATAGTAAAGAAAAAATCCGCATTATAAGGCGAAGGCCGGAAAAATTTGCACGAGGTCGATAAGACAGTCTGTTCAATTTCAATGTACCTCTAAATTACTTCTTACAATATCTTCATCTCAGTCAAACACATACATTGTCCTTATCTAACTTATTGAAACGCTATCTCTTGCATAATCCGGCACT